ACATTTATTCAGAAACCTATTATATGTCAAATATTTAATAATAATCCAAATTCAGACCTGAACCAAGCTTGAATATTGTGTCCATTTTTGCCCCAACTGTTCAGGGCTGGACCTTTGCTTTCGTATTTAGTTGTGTTTTGGTCTGTTTTTCTTAAACTATAAGCAATAGGTCAACTATATTTGTTGTATGGAAGAATTGTTAGCTGTACATGCCTGCCTGGCATGGTTCATCTGACCTTGACCTCATTTTCATGGTTCATTGGTCAATGTTTAGTTTTCTTGGTTAATGTTAAGTTTATGTGACAGTTGTAATAAAGCATTATATTAAGGACTATCAACATAATATCAGTGATTAGTAAAGAAGGCAAGACATTTCAGCGTGTGCACTGTTGTTGGACAACAACTCAAAAATGCTTTAAGCAGTTCGCATGAAACTTTGGTGAATTATTTATAGCTATTGATGTAATCTCCTTATAGATTTTCATAAATTTCAAATATGACATTGCGAAGAAATTGAACTTTATTTGTTTATAGTCTGTCTGGCAACAGATTTATTAAGTATTGCGCAACAGCACAGTTTATTGCACAACAGCAAGAAATCTTTAATTGAATATAAATTCAATTCATATAACCGATTTCAAGTTCTTTGACTACATTTATTCAGAAACTATAATATGTCAAATATTTAATTACAATCCAAATTCAGACCTGTATCAAGCTTGAATATTGTGTCAATTTTTGCCCCAACTGTTCAGGGTTGGACCTCTGCGGGTGTATCCAGCTGCGCTCAGCGAATCAGTTTATTTCTTAATTAAGAACTCCTTTTTTCATTCATAAATTACTTTAAACTTGGAAATATGATTTTGCTTGGAGTTATAGTTTCTAAAAAAGTATTGTCATTGAAAGAGTTGACATGTTGCAATGTACATTTATTCTACATAGTTCTATGGTACCAAATCAAAAGTTTATATAAAAGAAAGAAGTCAAAGGTTTCCCATCACAGTTTAGTTACGTACATTTTTTTTGTACCTGAGGTCGTTGAATATAGATCATTATATAAATAATGTGTTATGATTGCCAATGAAACAACTATCATCCATACTTACCAGTAACAAACCACATTTGCAGAGAATAAAATACAGTTGATAACATTTACTAAAAAGAAAATGCCTAACTATTTTAAACAGTATTTGAATATCAATTATATGGTCATTTTTGTAAACTTCCTGTTACAAAACTTTGAATTTTTCGAAAAACTAAGGATTTTCTTATCCAAGGAATAGATTACCTTAGCCGTATTTGGCACAACTTTTTGGAATTTTGGGTCCTCAATGCTCTTCAACTTTGTACTTGTTTGGCTTTATAACTATTTTGATCTGAGTGTCACTGATGAGTCTTATGTAGACGAAACGCGAGTCTGGCATATTAAATTATAATCCTGGTACCTTTGATAACTAATTTGACTATAAACATAGATAAAAAAGGTACAAACTGGACATAATGCACAAGTTCATAAACAAGTGAGAACAAACGCCTTCATATAGTGCTCAGAATATGACATTCATAAAACTTGTTCAGTAGCATTAGAGAACTCTAAATCTTAAATACTGAAAGCCACCTCTGATAAGTACACTGTACTATGCAAGATAATGATATAACTGGACTAAAAATACACACAACCTGTAATTAACTGCCTTTACAGCGCTTTCGCGCTTTGATTTTGTTATTATTTTGAATACTATTATAGATATATATAAACTGTAAGCAGCAATAATGTTCAGCAAAGTAAGATCTACATAAAAGTTAATATGACCATAATTGTCAATTGACCCCTTAAGGAGTTATTGCCCTTTAAAGACAATTTTACACAATTTGTTCATCAAGTTTGCTAACATTTAAAAATCTTCTCCTCTGAAATACAGGTGAGCGATTCAGGCTCTTGAGAGCCTCTTGTTTGACATGCACCTGAAACTGGTACCATAAAATGTAAATGTGCATATCCACATGAATTTTTTATCAGTTGACTTTAGTAGGAGTTATAAGTCTTTGAACTTAGGAACCTGGTGATACTTTGTTTGCCAAGTGACAATTAATGTGGGGGCGTGGGGTATGTGAGCATGCTCACAAGCTCACAAAGGTTCTTTAATTTTAACTTACTTATGGTTTTCATCCGCTTAATCATGCGATATTACTGTAAATAATTACAGTAACAGTAGTTTAAATATGCTGCCCCTCTATGAAAAATTAGAATTCAAATAGGCGAAATATTTAAAGAACGTTTACTAAGAAAATTTAAACACAAAAAAAAAGGGGGGAGGGGGGGCAATCCCATAAGCGCCTGTGATTTGAGCCAATATTTCAATCTTTTTTGAAGTGTTAATGTCAGAGACTTGTAAAACTATTTTATTATATGTCTGTCTGTGTAATATTGAGGACAGGGAAAAAGACCTAAAAATAAAATTGCTTTATCATGTTCAGTAAATCTTATTTCTGTTTGAGCTAATATATATAGATTGATTGGGCTATATATCATGTATATAAGCTCAGTCTACAATTTTTTTTTCTAGCTTTGACATTTTTTAAATGAAATTTCAGTTTCTGCATTTTTACTGTAGTCACTTGTACAGTTTTAAACTTTTACATGCATCTTAAGAACCAAATGAGAATATTTCTTTTTTTAGATATTTCCACTCTTGCAATGATTTGTTTAAGGGGAGGGGAGCAGTATTTCTATTTATCTGCTGATTGCCAATATATAGCTATAAGAATTATCTCCCTTGGCAATTTTCAATGAAGTTCCTGTTTCTCTCTTGTTATTTGGAAATTCAATTTGAAACTTTGTTGACATGGTAAGGAAGTACTGCTGAATATAATTATGCAATATTTTTTTTTTCACACTTGCGACTATAATGCCAGAAATTGGGATGCTTATCCATCTTCAATGACATATAGACTATTGTAAAACGCTTTATAATCCAGCTTCAATGACATATAAACTAGTGTAAAAACGCTTCATATCATTGTAATGAAGATGTTACATAGTTTTTGTCTGCTAGCTGGTAAATGTCCATTGTCCTTGACCTCATTTTCAGGGTTCAAAATAAACCTAGTTTTTTTTTTGTCCAGCGAGTTTCTTACTCATTATGAATAATTATACCATATTCATACAGCTGTATATGGGATCCTTACAAGGTCTACTTGTATGTCAAACAGGGTTCAATTGACCTTGATCTCAAGATTCATTGATCAGTGATCAAGGTTAAATTTTTATGGTCAGGTCTGTATCTCAGATACTATATTAAAGTAATAAGTCAACCAAAGTTTGTGTACTGGAATGATTGTAAGGTGTACATGTCCGTCAGGCTTTTTCATTGTTTATTGGTCAATTACTCAATTCAGTTTTTGTGATTGGTCGGTTTCTCAGATGCATAAGAAGTAGATAAACTATAAATTCACTTAACAATTAAAGTCTGATTGACCGTGTATAGCAAGAACTTATTGTGCTTGCATGTTGGTGTTTATAAAATTCACAACCTTTTTGTGATAGGGGTGAGCAGCTGAAACATCCAGTACCTCACCTTTTTCATAATATTAGAATACACAAAAAACTATATTATACTATATATCTATTTCATGCGAGTTAAATTAAATTATAATCATATAAGTATTCAGCATTATAAACCATTTATGATAGCAACCTAACAAGACTCCTCTAGTATTTTAGAGTACAATATCATGAACAATGACACAGTTACAAACATACGTATTACACCATGCTTTTCTCGCAGTGTCAACATTTTTTACAAAGGTGAAGTGCACCACGGCCCTCATCCTTGGTGAAGTGCACATCAGTATGCACCTTGACCCTCATCCTGGGTTTATTGTTTGGGGTTGACTAACTAATACATGGAAAAGCTAAAAACTAGACATGGGCCCCATATTGAGGATGAGGAAGCCCTATAGTTTTCACTTTGTATGTCTGTCTGTTTGTTCACAGTTTTTGTTAATGCAAAAATACCAAAAGTATATGTAGGAGGCCAGTGAAATTTTGCAAAGTCGTTGTGCATAACATGTTTATGCGCATACTATATTTTGGTGAAATTCTGCTTATAAGTTTTGAGAAATGTCTTTAATAAATGCAAAAACTCGAAAAGGATAGGTAGGAGGCCAATGAAATGTTGCACAGTTGTGTAGATGTCCAAATTATATTTTGGGGAAATTTGGCTCATTAATTTTGAAAAAAAAACTTAGTTTTTTGTTTAAAAAAGGATAAATTCTGAGAATCACATTTCTTGCATTGATTTAAATGAAAAAGTTATCATTAATGTGAATTGATTCTCTGTGTCAAAATTATTGTTTTTTTGTCCATTGTTTACCAAAATGCCCACCAAAACATGTGTCATAATGCTTGGATTTTTACAAAACTTGTATTAACCGAGAACATCCTGAATTGATTACTGGTGTCAAAATTTATAAAAATTGACCATCTATGAACATTTGGTTTGTATGCATAAGTTTGCCTCACATAAAAATGTCAGTTTTCTCTAGTTCCTTTTTAAATTTGTATCGCTTAATCATGAAATAAATTGACTGACCAATTAGATTGAGTCCTTCATTTAAAAAAAGCTTGACTATTTATTTATGATCTCACTGTTGACAACATAAAATCTCTTGGGCTACCAAACATTAATTTCAAACATAACAGGGGTTTAAAATCATAAATACATCAATTTCAAGTTTGTGTAAGGGACCCATTAAAAAGGTGAGAGAACAACAAAGTGAAAATATGATGACAGTGTCTTTCAGCTAAGACAACATCAATATTGTAAGTACTGTAAGCTGTATTGTGAAAAAATTGATCACTAATCTGGGTGTTTCAGTAAATTGATACCACTCTAGATTGATATTTGTTCAATAGATCATGATTTAAACTGGGTTTATCATTTTATTTGAAAGTTACATTTGTAAGTTGTTTAAGTTATAGTTTTGTTTTTTTCCAGATTGAAAGAACAGCAATGGATTCTACAAACGACTCATGTTTTGAGGACACTTCTTCATACGAAAAATGCTCTAAAAGACGACGTTTAAATGTTGATGTTAACAGTAATTGCTATCACTCTGACTTACAGAACGATGGTTGCGAAAATACAAGCCACGAAAATATCCAAAAGACATTTAATTATGGGGATGGAGTTAAACAAGAAACTTTTAAATCTATAAAAAGCATAATTCTTGATTTAATCTTAGCTACAAAACCACCGAATAAATCTAATGAACTGAAGATGTACTTAGAATCAATGCTTCTTGGAATGCATTCAAAAGAAAAACTAAAAAATCTGAAAGAATTGAAGGATAAATCAAGGGTCATAACCAACGCTGAAAGGTATATAACAGCCATATTAGGTGTTTGTTCAAAAGAACAGAGAAAGGAATTGATGAAAGTTACAAACAAACATCATAATGATCACATCCCATTGTCGTTGGCTTGCAAGATTGGAAATCTGGAACTGGTGAAGTTTCTGGTGGAGTACTGTGAGGCTGACGTCAATGGCAATGATGGCGATAGCAAACCAATGTTATGGGCAATATCTAACCAGGAGGAAGACATGGTTCGTTATTTATTGGAATATAAAGCTGACCCTGCAAAAAATGTGGGGAACTGTAATCTGTTAATGTTTTCTATGAAGGTCTTTTCTTATGCACCATGGCCAACATTTGGTTATGAAGAAGTTGATGATGATGATGATGATGATGAAGATGGAGATGATAACAAAACTGAAGATGATTGTGATAAAAACAAAACTGATGATGAGGATGACACCGATGATGAGAAGGAGGAAAAAGAGAGTTGTGATGACATTGATGTTGAAAACAAGAAGAATGAAAACATTCCTGTACCCTTTTGTCCAAAACTTGAAATTGTGAAAATGTTGATTGATAATGGAGCTGTTGAGAAATGTTCTGAGAGCCAACTTTATGACATATTTAAAGCTGTGCTTCCAGAAGAGAGTAGCAACTTAATAATAATCAACCCAGCAGAAGATCTGTATGAAGCTTGTTTGCCATTATTACTGGCCAAAGTACCCAACATAGCCAGTATAAAGAATGATCAAGGCATGACTTTGTTAGGTTACGAGCTTCGTCATAAGGATTTGATTAGAAAATGTAAGATCTCAAGTCATTTGCTACGTCACCTCGGTAAAAGTGATGGGTCAGATATCAATAATGCCAACATTATCAAATATTATCCTGTACGTCCGTCAGAGGACCTGTCAGATGGCATTGAAACAAATATAGATACTGTTCTTAAGTCTTGCAGTGTTGACCAAACTACAAACAACGCAGTTTGTGCTGATGACCGTGGTAATTATGGGTATGTACATCCAGTTGTAATTTTAGCAAGTGCTGGGAGGAGGTTAGTACATACGTGCCTAGGTAAACGAAAGGTTCCGTTTCAAGCCAAGTTTGACGCATTAGAAGCTGCTGGGGCTTATTATGCCAAATTTGGGTTCTATAAAGATTCTGTCAGATGTTGGAATGCTGCAGAAAAAATAAGGCAACAGAAAGTTTCAAATAGAACCAAAAAAATCATGAAAGTAGAGAGCATTCAAAATCCAATTAACATTTCACCTTGGGAAAAAGATTTTCAAATAAAAACTTTTATTGCTATGAAGTTGCTGAATCCATTTGAAGGTGATTCCAACATCAGCATGGAGTTTGTCTACCTGGATATGGCTGATAATGCCAGGATTACTATCAGGTTGGTGAAAAAATGGCATGAAAAATTAATAAGAAGCGGTACTGCACCAATCGTTATAGTGAATCCACCAGAAAAATCAATCAAATCTCACCTCACTTGTCTCAACAGTAATGAGTTGGACAAAAAAACAAATACACGTTTGGCTATTCTGTTAAAAGGTGCATTAATACACGAGCGACTTGTTGGATTTGGTTCTCATGAGACGCTAAAGGCATTCGAAACATTGTCCACAGAGTATTACAAACTCAATCAAATTAAAGATTTTGTTGCTGTAGTCACATACAGCTTTCCATGCTTTTTGAGATATATATCACAAGAGGAAACCTATGTTGTTAGAGATTATACAAAGACTGAGACATTGCAGAAGTTTATTACTAACTTAACAACCATTGTTTTGACAGAGACAAAATTAATGCAGTTAACTTTTGATGAGCTAATGGCAATTGGTAAATGTTTCTTCCTCCACTACTTAGGCACACCAAAGAAACAAAGAATGTTTTCAGATATTGCACCTCTGCTCTTAGCCGTAAAAGTACTTGATAGTTATGACAAGAGCGAAGAGCAGAGCACAAAGTTTTCAAAGTTCATGAAAAGAGTAGTCAGTGATGACCTGAGGAACTGTGTTGGACAAAGTCTCTTGCATTATGTCACTCCTGTGGTAACTCATAAAAAAGCAAAAGATTTAGAGAAAGAAGTTACAGGATCACAAAAATTAGTTGAGATATTGCTACGTTCAGGAGCAGATTCTAATACCATAGACAACTATGGAATGACACCTCTTCATTTAGCTTACCGTGTCTTGCCTAGTGATGGATCAGAGAGTCAAACTGATCAAATGAATATAATCCAAGCACTGTATGGAGCTGGTGCTCACACTGACTGTATAGATGCTGCTAACCGAACACCCATCTGGTATTCCCAAACGTCATCAAGTCCATTGTGTCCCGTGGGTACAGGATCATTGCAATGTCTAGCCTCTGCTGTGATTATAAACAGCTGTGTACATTATCAAGGACATCTGTTACCTCACATGGAGAGGATGATAGACTTACATAAGAGAAGGGGGAAACGTACATCTGATAATTTTACTGAATATTTGTTCAGTGAATCCGATCAATGTTTGTACCATGAGTCTGATCAAAGTGGTGAAAGTGAAGGGTCTGATTGACATGATCAGACAGCTTATAGTTGTAAATAGTTATCATGGTTATGTTGTTTGTAATTTACTAAACAGGCTAAATGGGGTAATAGCTCTCAAATACTTTCAAAATTTCATTTATAACATGCTAAAACATATACAAGTATTACAAATGTCACACTCGAAACAATAAACAGTGCATGAAAAAGAAAAAAAAAATATCAACATTTTGGGTGCATCTCAATTATTAACCATGGACAGGACCTTTGTTATTAACTTAAAAATACAAATTGTGTGCTCACTTGCTACACATTACATTCACATTTTAACTGTGCTTGTTTCTAATGTTTACTTAAATTTAATTGGATGAGGTAAGCAAATTGTGTGCCACCTTGTTACAATTTACATCAAATATTTTGTTCAAAATTTAAAATTAAATTATTTAACATTTCATTGCATTATTTTTCAGTTTTTTATGCATACCAATTTATTATTGGTATAAATGTGAAGATTTGGTATAAAATGTGAAGATTTAGTATGATTTCAAATGAAATTATCCACCAGAGGACAAAGAACAAGGATGTCAACATCTATAGGGCACTGTACGACCTTTAACAATGTGTAAAACCCATACTGTATAGTAAGTTATACAAGCCCAAAGCATGTCAACATCTATAGGGCACTGTACGACCTTTAACAGTGTGTAAAACCCATACTGTATAGTAAGTTATACAAGACCAAAACATGTCAACATCTATAGGGCACTGTACGACCTTTAACAATGTGTAAAACCTAAACTGTATAGTAAGTTATACAAGCCCAAAACATGTCAACATCTATAGGGCACTGTACGACCTTTAACAATGTGTAAAACCCATACTGTATAGTAAGTTATACAAGCCCAAAACATGTCAACATCTATAGGGCACTGTATGACCTTTAACAATGTGTAAAACCCATACTGTATAGTAAGTTATACAAGCCCAAAACATGTCAACATCTATAGGGCACTGTACGACCTTTAACAGTGTGTAAAACCCATACTGTATACTAAGTTATACACGCCCAAAACATGTCAACATCTATAGGGCACTGTACGACCTTTAACAATGTGTAAAACCCATACTGTATAGTAAGTTATACAAGCCCAAAGCATGTCAACATCTATAGGGCACTGTACGACCTTTAACAATGTGTAAAACCCATACTGTATAGTAAGTTATACAAGCCCAAAACATGTCAACATCTATAGGGCACTGTACGACCTTTAACAATGTGTAAAACCCATACTGTATAGTAATTTATACAAGCCCAAAACATGTCAACATCTATAGGGCACTGAACGACCTTTAACAATGTGTAAAACCCATACTGTATAGTAATTTGTACAAGCCCAAAACATGTCAAAATGTGAAACAATTCAAAAGAGAAAAGCAACGACCTGACGCTAGAAACCATTAAGGAATAACAACCAACAACAACCACTAATTACAGGCTCCTGACTTTTAAGAAGTTAGTTCAGTTATGCCACACAACCTTTTAGTTTGTATTTCATTTATTATGCAACACTACCTTAAAGCTGGTAGTTCAGTTATGCCCCACAACCTTCTAGTTGGAAGTTCAGTTATAATACCCCACAACCTTATAGTAGGTAGTTCAGTTATTATGCTACACATCCTTATAGCTGGTAGTTCATTTATAATGCCACACATCCTTGTAGTTGGTAGTTCAGTTATGCACCACAACCTTATAGTTGGTAGTTCAGTTACTATGCCACAAATCCTTGTAGTTGGTAGTTCAGTTATAATGCCCCACAACCTTATAGTTGGTAAGTCAGTAATGCCATACCACCGTATTGTTAATAGTTCAAGATGGTTACCATTGGTGTTTGTGTCCATATTTATGTTGTCTCCCTCTTCTGTTTTAGTTGGTAGTTCAGTTATAATGCCACACAACCTTGTAGCTGGTAGTTCAGTTATAATGCCACACAACCTTATAGTTGTTAGTCCAGTTATAATGCCACACAATATTGTAGTTGGTAGTCCAGGTAATGCCACACAACCTTATAGTTGGTAGTTCATTTATGCCACATAACCTGGCTAGCTGGTATTCAGTTATGCCACACAACCTTATTCTTGTTTGTTCAGTTATAATGCCACACCACCTTGTAGTTGGTAGTTCAGTTTTTATGCCACATAACCTTATACCTGGTATCCAGTTATGCCACACAACATTATAGTTCAGTTATCAGGCCACATCACCTTATTGTTGGTAATTCAGTTTCTATGCCACATAACCTATTAGCTGGTATTATATTCAGTTATGCCACAGCCTTATAGTTGGGTAGTTCAGTTTTTATGCCACATAACCGCTTACAGCTGGTAGTTCAGCTGCCACACAACCGTATAGTTGGTAAGTCAGTTATTATTCCATTTAACCTTATTATTGGTAGTTCAGTTATTATGCCACACAACCGTATAGTTCATAGTTCAAGATGGTTACCATTGGTGTTTGTGTCCATATTTATGTTGTCTCCCTCTTCTGCTTTGATGAATAGAAGATATGGGGTAACAAAAATGATACAATAACACAAGATTGCTATGCATATTTATTTTCGTTTCTGTATACCCCAAAAAATAAAATCATTATGAATGTTAATGATGTGTACACCTGTAAAAAAAAGAAGCAGATGTACCAAAGGGACAATCCGAAGAAAAACCGGCAAACACACCTTTCTACACAACACTGCTTATTTAAAAAAAGATGCAGCATCACGAACTCCGTCCAAAACCGGGGTGATTTCAGGTTCTCCAGGAGGGTAAGCAGATCTTGTTCCACAAGTAACATCCATCGTGTTGCTAATGTCGGGGGAAAACATTCAGTGGTCACAACTGGAGAAAAAGGGCAAGGATTGTGTCTAAACAATTGGAACAAATACATGGTCATATGTGGGACAGATATTCCATAACGGTCAACCAAATCATGTTGGCGTTCGTTCTTGTTGAAAACTTTCGAAGGGAAGAAATTAAGCTGAACTTCTAGGATTCCTAGATTCAACAGCTACATTGAAATCAATTGGGGATATATATATATATTGATTATATATACGATGATTATTAGAAAATTAAGATACGTCAGTTCCGATTCGGTAGACATATGACTCTAATTTTGTGCTCTGTTTTGGCATTTGATGTAATTATACAATAATTGTAAAAACAAAGTAAATTGGTTGGAAGAAATCGCTGTGTTCGTGACATTTTTATGTCCCACCTACAATAGTAGAGGGGCATTATGGTTTTCGGTCTGTACTTCCGTTTGTTCGTCCGTCTGTCCCCCCGCTTCAAGTTAAAGTTTTTGGTCAAGGTAGTTTTTGATGAAGTTGAAGTCCAATCAACTTGAAACATAGAACACATGTTCTCTATGATATGATTTTTCTAATTTTAATGCCAAATTAGAGTTTTGACCCCAATTTCACGGTCCACTGAACATAAAAAATGATAGTGCGAGTGGGGCATCCGTGTACTATGGACACATTCTTGTTTCTTTATGCTTTCCTAACTCAATTTTGCTAACAAATAGAACTTAAAGCCCCGACCATTTCATTTTTTAGGAATAATCTTAAACTGCACAATAATTTGTCGATGTTTGTCTGGTATATGATCGAAAAGGATATCTTGTCTATCAATTTTTTTTTAAGTAACAAAACTGGATTATTTTTGTTTAAAGCAAAGATGAATGACTCATTATACTAGTGACACGTTCGTACAACTGGCTGCAGGAGACTATAGTTCAGTGGTTGTCGTTGGTTCATGAATGTCAACTTATGTTTGATTTTTTGCCAAAAAAAATGTAATATAATTAGGCCGTTAGTTTTTTTTAAATATGAACCTGGTGGCCTTGTAAGAGCTGAAAAAATAGGCATCCACTTCATTTGAACTTTGGTGGATAGTTGTCTGATTGGTAATCATACCACATCTCCTTATTTTTATAATGATTAGCGACAGATTAAAATGAATAATAAATCCGCAAAAAATAAATTTATGAATGCAGATATAATAGAATGTGAGCTGTGTGATAAACGTTTTTATGGTATGACAGCCTTAGTAGGACATTCTTGTAGGGACGATAAGCTGGATAAATATAAGAACTACACGGACAATATAACAGTAAGGGGACGACTATTTGATAGTCTGGAGAGGGGGAGGGAGCAGTTGGATATTTTGCAGATTTATTATTCATTTTAATCTGTCTCTAATCATGCCTTTTTTTAGCTATTACCTGGCCACATTTTCCATATTTAAAATCCTCTTGTCCCACACCCCACCTCCCAAATAAAAATCAAATGGTTTTACCCTTATTTAACACAAGTTTTGATTGATTGTTGGTTGCTTATTTTTAATGTCCAGTGACAAATATTTCATGCATGTTCAGGAAACACGAGTTTAAAAGTCAGGTATATAGTATGAAAATAAGGAGATGCAGTATGATTGCCATTGAGGCAACTATCCACCCAAGTTCAAATGAAGTGGATGTAAGCAATTAAAGGCAATCGTACGGACGTCAACAATGACAAAAAACCATACCGTATAGTCGGCTATAAAAGACTCCGACATGAAAAATGTAAACCAATTTAAACAATAAAACTAACGGCCTAATTCTATATTACAAAACAATTTACAAAAAATCAAATATGAGTTGACAGACAACCACTGAACTACAGGCTCCTGACTTGGGACAGGAACATAAAGAATATGGCAGGGCTAAACAAGTTTGTGTGTATGCTCAACCCTCCCCTAAACTGGGACATAGGTGTAACAGTACCACATAAGAACAAACTGTAAAAATCAGTTGCAATTAGATTAACTCAAAAGATTGGTACGAGACACAAAAAAACAACTAACATTAAGACAATAGAAAGAAAGCACCGAAATAAGAGTATTTGCAGTCACTGAAAGTTTGAATTTTGCAATAGAAATAATTGTTACTGAGAATTAACCAGCAGATTTTTCTCAAGGACCACCAGGGAAAAAAGATTTTGAGAACTCGGTGATATCTTTGCTATATACAAAAATAATCCATAAAATTGAGAATGGAAATGGGGAATGTGTCAAAGAGACAACAACCCGACCATAGAACAGACAACAGCAGAAGGTCACCAACAGGTCTTCAATGCAGCGAGAAATTCCCGCACCCGGAGGCGTCCTTCAGCTGGCCCCTAAACAAATATACATACTAGTTCAGTGATAATGAACGCCATACTAAACTCCAAATTGTACACAAGAAACTAAAATTAAAAATAATACAAGACTGACAAAGGCTAGAGGCTCCTGACTTGGGACAGGCGCAAAAATGCGGCGGGGTTAAACATGTTTATGAGATCTCAACCCTCCCCCTATACCTCTAGCCAATGTAGAAAAGTAAACGCATAACAATACGCACATTGAAATTCAGTTCAAGAGAAGTCCGAGTCTGATGTCAGAAGATGTAACCAAAGAAAATAAACAAAATGACAATAATACATAAATAACAACAGACTACTAGCAGTTAACTGACATGCCAGCTCCAGACTTCAATTAAACTGATTGAAAGATTATGTCTTCATCATATGAATATCAGGCACAATCCTTCCCGTTAGGGGTTTAGTATCATACCATCATAACATATATGAGAAGAACATAACCCGTGTCATGCCAACAACTGGTTTTTAGATAAATGTGTTTAGTGCCGATGCAAAGACCCTATAAGTGAATCAATATTAACGCCAAAATATGCAATCTTTAATGACCCGACAACAGTATCGTAACTATATCCCTTCTTAATAAGTCTATTTAAAGGTTTTGTTAGCTTCAGAGGTGAATACTGACATTTTTGTGCTTTATAAAGAATATTTCCATAAAAAATTAGATGTGAAATACCTGAACGTATAAGAAGTCTGCATGTTGAGCTATATTTACGAATGATGTCCTTATACCGATGATAAAATTTAGTAAATGTTTTGACTAGTTTGTGATATCGAAAACCCTGGTGTAATAATTTTTCAGTAATACATAAATTTCTCTCGTTAAAATTTAAAACATTGTTACATACACGAGCGAATCGTACAAGTTGAGATATATAAACACCGTAAGATGGTGACAAGGGAACGTCACCATCTAAAAATGGATAATTAACGATAGGAAATGAAAAATCATCTCTTTTATCATATATTTTAGTATCAAGCTTTCCGTTAATGATATAGATATCAAGATCGAGGAAGGGCAGTGGTCATTGTTAGTATTAGCTTTATTTAAAGTAAGTTCAACAGGATAAATTTCTTTAGTATACATACTGAAGTCGTCATTATTGAGAGCCAAAATATCATCCAAATATCTAAAAGTATTATTAAATTTGTGTATCAGATGTTGTTTCGATGGGTCTTTGCTGATTTTTGTCATAAATTGTAACTCATAGCAATACAAAAAAAGGTCCGCAATAAGTGGTGCACAGTTAGTCCCCATTGGAATTCCGATAACCTGACGATATACGGAATCTCCAAAGCGAACAAAAATGTTATCTAGTAAAAATTCAAGGGCATATATAGTATCAAAGCATGTCCAATTGACATAGTTTTTTTGTTTATTGCTACTAAAAAATGACCTAAAAGAGTTTGAACATATATATTCACATTCTGACTTTTTAAATGCCCATTTAATTAGGTGTGTGAATTTTTTCTTAATGAGAATGTGAGGCAATGTGGTATATAGGGTAGAAAAATCAAAACTTTGAACAGATTCAAAATCACCAATATATGCATGCAATTTATCAAGTACTTCCAACGAGTTCTTGACACTCCAAAAGTAATTAATTCCACTATTTTCGAAGGCCTTATTTGAACAATTTATTATCAGGTTTTTGATTGTATCAAGTGTACTGGTAAGAAGAATAGACAATTTAGTAGTGGAACAATGGCTTGAAGAAGAAATGAATCTATATTTGTAAAGTGTTTTGTGTAGCTTCGGGAAGCCAGTTTGGTTACTTTAAAAAAATTTGAAAGACAAGATGTTCTTTTCGATCATATACCAGACAAACATTGACAAATTCTTGTACAGTTTAAGATTATTCCTGAAAATCAAATGGTCGGGGTCGGATTTGTTTAGGAAAATTGAGTTAGGAAAGCATAAAGAAAAAAGGTCACGAACACAGCGATTTCTTCCAATCAATTTTCTTTGTTTTTAAACTTATTGTAAAATTACATCAATGCCAAAACAGAGCACACCATTACAGTCATGTTTACCGAATCGGAACTGACGTATCTTGATTTTCTAATAAATGATCGTAAATTTCATTTATGTCATCCAACATATAAAAAAAATTCTGCTATATTCGACGGCAAATTTAATTTTTGTTTTATTGCTTCTTATACAGAATATCTCCAGAAGAGGTCCAAATTCATGTTTTTGTACTCTTCACCAGAAGACATTCTGGAGATGTACAGAAGAGACCAATAAAACACGCACTATATTTCATCGATGGATTGTCATGATTTTTTTTAAAGGGAGGTTATAAACATTTAATATTTTGGATAATGATATCATTAAAGTGTTTTATTTGATTGATTATAACAAACAAACCTGCATAATTAATATATGCAGTCATTTTTGGTAATACACATACTTTTCATGATTTTTTTTTTAAATCCAGAAACGCTCACAATTTCATGGCAGATGATTTCTCGGGGAAGATATAATAAGATATAGAAATATTTTCATGGACAGTATTTCACAGTAAAATATTGGAATAAACAAAATTTCACAATGAAATATTGTCAACGATTGTTTTTTGAAAAACACATATCCTGAACGAAACATGTTGCCAATAAAAAAAATCCAGCATCAGGATGTTTTAAGTCTCAGAGAACACTTATGGAAATTTCTGGATCCGCCACTGCATGACCTAAACATTGTTCAGTTACAAATTTTACTATAAACTTTACAAATGAAATTCATAAGCAGACCCATTGGTGGCTTTCGGCTGTTGTCTGCTCTATGGTCGAGTTGTTGTCTCTTTGACACATTCCCCATTTCCATTCTCAATTTTATCAAATAATTTGATAAAATATTTAATGTTTACTTTATCAAAATCTAGATTTGAAGGAAATTCTTTGAAAAAAAAAGTAAATGAAGTTTGATTAAATATATTAGTGGAATTTTAGGTCCATTCCATATTTTTTTTTTCAGCAAATATAGAAAATAGAAAAAATAAAAAATAGCAAAAAAATGCAAAAGATAATAAACAAAAACAGAAAATAATATTAAAGGACTGAAAAGGGGCAAAAATAAGAAGATTGGCATATAAACTACGTTAATTATATGCTAATCGTCTTAAAAAAGGTATCGAGTTATTTACCAGGTAATCATATTTATATCAATTTATATTTTTACTATTTGACCGGGTCCAGGTGAATAAATACTCTCAAAATATACTATATATCGAAAGAAAAAAAAGTGATTAAAATTGCATTTTCATCAAAATATTGAATAAATTATGTTACATGCACGGATTATGAGGACACCTTTTATGTCATTTTTAATTTCCCGCCCTTTTCATTCGCAGTAGCAGTGAAACATAAGATGATGAGGATGCTGAATAATTAACTTTGATATACAGTTTGATTCGCCAAGTGTTCAACACGTAAGTATAATTATATTTTTTTGCAGAAACACATATATAATACATTTTATATAGAAATAAGAAGATGTGGTATGAGTGCCAATGGCAATGGCAATGACTGAATGAGACAACTCTCCATCCAATTCCAAGTCACAATTTGTAAAAAGTAAACAGTTATTGGTCAAAGTACGGCCTTTAACACGGAGCCTTGACTCAGACCGAACAGCAAGCTGAAAAGGGCCCCAAAATGACTAGTGTAAAACAATTGAAAAGGATAACCAACGGTCTAATCTATATAAAAAACGAGAAACGAGAAACACTTATGAACCACGTCAACAAACGACAACCACTGAACAACAGGTGTTAAAATTAATGAAGCTAAATCAGGTGATTTGGGGCATTTCCAGATGTTTTACATGATGAATTATCTGGTTTGCTAATAAAATGTAGAGACAAAACTTTATTTTTAGCTCACCTGGCCCAAAGGGCCAAGTGAGCTTTTCTCATCACTTGGCGTCCGTCGTCGGCGTTAACTTTTTACAGTTTGAACTTCTTCTAGAGAACCACTGAATGGAATGAAACCAAACATGGCATGAATGTTCCTTATGAGGTGCTGACCAAGTGTTGTTACTTTGTAGCGGATCCATCATCCAAGATGGCCGCCAGCGGGGGACTTAGTTTAACATAGGACCCTATGGGAAATACATACAAATGTCTTCTTTTAGAGAACCACTGAATGGAATGAAACCAAACATAATATGAATGTTCCTTATGAGGTGCTGATCGAGTGTTGTTACTTTGAAGCCGATCCATAATCCAAGATGGCCGCCAGCGGGGGACTTAGTTTAACATGGGACCCTATGGGAAATACATACAAATGTTTTCTTTTAGAGAACCACTGAATGGAATGAAACCAAACATGGCAAGAATGTTCCTTATGAGGTGCTGACCAAGTGTTGTTACTGTGAAGCCGATCCATAATCCAAGATGGCCGCCTGCAGGGGACTTAGTTTAACATGGGACCCTATGGGAAATACATACAAACGTCTTCTTTTAGAGAACCACTGAATGGAATGAAACCAAACATGGCAAGAATGTTCCTTATGAGGTGCTGACCAAGTGTTGTTACTTTGAAGCTGATCCATCATCCAAGATGGCAGCCAGCGGGGGACTTAGTTTAACCAGAGTTCGCGAAAACTTATTTTGACCCGTCGGTCATGGGACCGACAAAGCATGATTATTTGTCAGTCCTACACAATTTCAGCCAGTCCTCCAAAATCTGTCAATTTTATCCTGAAATAAAATTAATAACATATTTTAACGAAAAATAACTTTATTTATATTAGTTTTATTCTTCGCACCCACAGGCAAATTAACAATGAAGGACCAGTTCAGGTCTTCTGATTGTTCTTATTTAAAGTCATCTTCACTATCCATTTCATCATCTGAATCACTTTCTCGGCTGTTACAGTATTTGTTTGCTCCATTGTAGGGTTCAATCGCCGATTGTTTGCCAGGGATGGCTCTATGAACAAATTTAGTAGGCCACGTGTAGATCGCCGCTTTGGTTTGTTTATAATAAATCCGTAAACCAGTACCGGAAATTGGCAGCGGGTACATCTGATAACCGATGTAAACACTTATTGGAAACAGTTGCGGTACATCTAATAACCGATGTAAATAAGTGCCGAAATATGCACTACAACGGCCGTTTTTACATCGGTCATCGGGACCGGCACTAGCCTTCAAAATACTGGTCCGAGCCTCATTTTGACCGACAGGACAGACAGGACCGACCATTTTCGCGAACTCTGTTTAACATGGGACCCTATGGGAAATACATACAAACGTCTTCTTTTAGAGAACCACTGAATGGAATGAAACCAAACATAGCAAAAATATTCCTTATGAGGTGCTGACCAAGTGTTGTTACTTTGAAGCTGATCCATCATCCAAGATGGCAGCCAGCAGGGGACTTAGTTTAACATAGGACCCTACGGGAAATACATACAAATGTCTTCTTTTAGAGAACCACTGAATGCAATGAAACCAAACATGGCAAGAATGTACCTTATGAGGTGCTGACCAAATGTTGTTACTGTGAAGCCGATCCATAATCTAAGATGGCCGCCAGCAGAGGACTTAGTTTAACATAGAACCCTATGAGAAATGCGTACAAATGTTTTCTTTTAGAGAACCATTGAATGGAATGAAACCAAACATGGCATGCATGTTCCTTTTGAGGTGCTGACCAAGTGTTGTTACTTTGAAGCTGATCCTTCATCCATGATGGCTGCCAGATTGGGACAATGTTTAACAAAGGACCCTATGGACAATACATACAAATGTCTTCTTTTAGAGAACCACATACTGAATGGATTGAAACCAAACATGGCATGAATGTTCCTTATGAGGTGCTGACTAAGTTTTGTTGCTTTGAAGCTGATCCTTCATCCATGATGGCCGCCAATGGGGGGACTTCCTTTAACATAAGACCCTATGGGAAATACATACAAATGCTTCTAGAGGTGCACTGAATGGAATGAAACCAAAACATGGCATAAATGTTTCTTATGAGGTGCTGATTAAGTGTTGCTACTTTGTTGCCGATTTACTGTTCAAGATGGCCACCAGGATTTTTTATTAAATTACAGGACCAATATTAAACCAAATTTGGCCTCCCTCATTATTAGGTATCTGTTATGATTTTAAATCTATTTTTACATGATTTCCAAAACCAAAGTAGAATCAGGTGAGCGACACAGGCTCTTGAGAGCCTCTAGTTATTTTTAATCGTCTCCATTAAACAAATGTAAGAGTCTGTATGCAGCGATCTGGAAAGATTTTGTCTCTATGGGCCAAGGGCACCCTCATAAATTTTAATGGACCATTTTGAACAGGCTGTTACAGTTTATAACATAAGTAATAAATATCTATACTGGGCGCAGCTGCATACGACTGCAGAGGTCCAACCCTGAACATTTGGGGCAAAAATGGACACAATCATGACAATATTCGCGCTTGATACAGGTCTGAATTTGGATTGTAATTAAATATTTGACACACAATAGGTTTCTGACACAGAATAACTGTAGTCAAAGAACTTAGAATTGGTTATATGATTTGAATTTATATTAAATTTTTGCTTTTGTGCAATACACTGTGCCTGTGCGAATTGACCCCACCCCACCCCCCACAAAAAAAAATTAAAATTAACCTTTTTTTTTTTTTGCTTTTGTGCAATACACTATGCTGTTGCGTATTGAACACCCCAACCCCCACCCTTAAAGGCTTTTTTTTCAAAAAAAAAAATATGTGAAGAAATTTTGTTTAATTTCTGAAATCTGAAAAAAATTGCCCATCCCCCAATTTCTCCCCCCCCCCCCCCCCCTTTTTCCAAAAAAAATTTCTTTCCCTCAAGATATGGTCATAATCTCAATTCAAATTACCAATGGAGTTTGCAACCATAATTACCCATTTAAATACATCATAATAAGTAAAATCACAAAAATACTGAACTCCGAGGAAAATTCAAAAAGGAAAGTCCCCAATCAAATGGCAAAATCAAAAGTTCAAACACATCAAACGAATGGATAACAACTGTCATACTCCTGACTTGGTACAGGCATTTTCTTATGTAGAAAATGGTGGATAAAAGTCTTAAATAGATAATTTAAAAGCAGTGTAAGGGAGGTAATCCAACATTGTACAATTTTGTTTTTGGATTAGTTCCCTTACACTGCTTTTAAATTGTTCATTAACCAGGAAACCCTTGTTTTTCCCCCTTTTTTGCCCCTAATTCCTAAACGGTTTGAGCCATAACCCCCCCAAAGCCAATCCTAACCATCCCTATGAGGTATGGAAACTGGTGGTATAATTTCAGAGAGATCCATACACTTAAAAGACAAGTTATTGTCTGGAAACTAGAAAAATGCCTTTTTGGGCCTCTTTTTGGCCCCTAATTCCTGAACTGTTAGGACCATAACCCCCAAAATCAATCCCAACCTTCCTTTTGTGGTATTGAACCTGATGGTAACATTTCATACAGATCCATTCACTTAAACTAAAGTTATTGTGTGAAAACCAATGTGTTTTAGAATTAAAATTTAGAAAAATGCTCTATGTTTTTTTAATCGAAATTAATAGTAATCATACTTTCAATTATATTATTTAAAGAAAAAAAATCAACCATACTAGCAATCTTTCATAGAATTAAAGTTGGTTCCTTTGAAAATTTAGATCATGGTTATTCACGTTTTTCAGGTTTTTTGAGATAAACCATGCAGAACTAAGTTAAACTGGTTCTCGAAATATTATCATCTGTCTATCGACTTGTTTTTCTTGGGGAACAGTACGACAACCTATATTTTTGAACCAAATGATACGAACGACAAAATAATCAATTAACTTTCCGCTACAACTTGATTGAATTGGGAATTTTCCGTGTTCATTTGGGAAAAAAATAGGGTTTTTCTAATTGGGAACAGGGCTGATATTCGGACCCAAAATAAAGGAAGGAAAAACACTGGAGGGTCTGGTGCCGGCTCTGCCAGCCGACAAGTTTGTCACTCCAGCAAGACCGAAAAGAACATTGCTGATTGTGAAGCAAACAATATAATTAAACAGTTCTTAATAAACAACACAAGAGGACTTAAATTGCCAGACAGCAAAATAAGCAACAATATAAACACTCATTCTTTGTGAAAACAATCATCAATTGGAACCAGCTGCCAGATAAGGTAGTGCATGCTGATTCTGTAGAGGCAGTCAAGACCGCTCTACAGGAACACCGCCCATAACAACAGCGCTCTTCTCCACCGTGTAAAAAAGCCTATTTAGGATTCTACACGTACAGATAAAAATGAGAAACACTTATGAACCACATCAACAGACGACAACCAATGAACAGGCTCATGGTATGATTGCCAATGGAACAACACTCCACCTAAGACAAAATGTTGTTGATGTAAAGCTTTTTTGACATTGTTCTGTACCATACACTAAATAAACTGCTTTTGGCA